ATCACAAGCATCACTTACCTCCAACAAAACGTTTGTTGCATATACGACCATTGAAAGCTGGCCACCAATCTTTCCTAATATATACTTGTTTTACTGCTACTATTTATTTCTCTCATCTACCAGCATTGACAGGAAATCTTTGGAATGATAGGCTTGTTGTTTTTTTCCCTCTTATAATTTTGACACTCAACAGCTATGCAGTTTAGTACCATTGTTCTTAATTCTATAAATTAGTATCAAATTGTGCTTTGTACTTATAAAATACATGTTAAATAGCCAGTGAGCTGTTTTCACTCTAACATAGTGGCATAAATGGAGATGATACAAAACCTCTATACTCTAGAGGAGAGGTAATGCAGAGGTTTGCCCAGGTTAGTATAAATGGTAGTTTATCTTCTCTAACATATGATATGAGGATGACCTTTAATGAAGGTAATCTAAGATGGTGGGATACTTCACTAGGGCTTAAATTGTTTGTTTGTTTTGAATTCGCGCAAAGCTACATGAGGGCTATCTGTGCTAGCCGTCCCTAATTTAGCAGTGTAAGACTAGAGGGAAGGCAACTAGTCATCACCACCCAATGCCAACTCTTGGGCTACTCTTTTACCAACGAATAGTCACATTATAACGCCCCCACGGTTGAAAGGGCGAGCATGTTTGGTGTAACAGGGATTCAAACCCGCGACCCGGAGATTGCGAGTCAAGCGCCCTAACCACCTGGCCATGCCGAGCCAAGGGCTTAAATAAAAAGTGTGGTATTAATCCAATCAACCCTGTGTAGAAGTCTTCTCCATTTTTCTCTAGCAGTAAGAGTTATAGAAAACTTTGAAGCAGCCAGTTTATCAATACAGTAAATTACTACCCGAGAAAGAGTGACCACTGCATAATTAGATTTGGTGTTTTGCAACATTTGAAAGAAAAAAAATGAAGTTTTAGTTCCTAATTTTCTGAAAGAAAATTTGAGGCCATGACACAAGATTTATCTTTAGTGAATTGGAATAATTAGTATAAAAGTTATGTGGGACAGATTTGGTAGATTTATAAACATAACTTGCTTTTAATTCAACATAAGCATGTTCCTTTAAAAGAGCAAAAAAATAATGGGGAATACAGACATAAAGGAGAAACTCAGTAATAAATGTCACAAGTCTAATACACTTAAATCGACAGATAAGTTGAATGATTTACAGGGCTATAAGAAATCTAGGGATCTATTTAAAATGATATTTTGAAATACAAGAAACAACTGGCTCATAAAGTTAAAACTAATAGCAAAGAATTATGTTAAAGGTAAGCAAAATGTTAAATTAGGGATTAGGCCCTTAAAGGATGCTGATGGCAAGGTTTCTGTTGAAGATTATAAGATGGGTGAACCTTCAAATGTTGTCTTCCATTTTACAAAAGAAAATATTAGCAATATTCTTGACCCTGAACATTCTATGGAAATATTGAAATTGACCTAAATAATGTTGATATTAATCCTTTGCTGGTAAGGAGAAAGCCTGAGGTATTAAAAATAGAACAAGCACCAAAGTCAGAAAATGTTTTCCCTCAGGGTTTTAATGAAGATCAACGATCATACATACGAACCTTTATCTTTCATTTTTGTTAAGTAAACAGTAAGCAAGTGCCTGAGGATTGAAGAGTTGTTAATATTACTCCTATTTTTAAAGGTGATGATAGAAGTAGCTCTGTAATTATAGGCCAGTTATTCTTACTCCTATATTGGGGAAAATTGTAAAATGTTTAATAGCATAATTTAATGAAATATGATATCACAGATAAAAACCAATATTAAATCACAAGAAGGAAATCTAGTCTTATTATTAATATTTTTTTATTGAGGATGTTACGCACGTACTTGTTATTTGGATAATGTAAAGGGTGTAGACATAGCATACTTAGATTTTCAAGAAGCTTTTGATAAGATGACACACAAAAGCCTAACTAAGAAAAATCACATTAGTAGAGGTTGAGGAAAGACCAGTTAATTCTATTGTGGTTACATGGGAGAGAGTAAAAGATTGTTATTTATGGAGTCCAGTTAAACCAGACCCTTGTTACTAGTGGAGTGCCTCATGGGTCAATACTTGGGCCTTTGCATTTTCTTATTTACATTAATGATATTTAGGGGACATAATTAGTATGAAAGTTCACTATGACATTAAACTTTTAGGCATTTCTAGCTGTCTGATATCCTCAGGTGCACTGATTTCCCTTTGGAGTGAATGGGAAGGTTTCACATAATAACAGGAGGTTCAAAAAAGATGTATTATTGATAAATCTTAAATTCTCTGACTTTGACCAAGTATGAAGAATGAAAGAGACTGGATACAATGTGGAGCAAAATAAAACAATATCTATTCACAAAAAACAAAAACTCAAGGGTAAGAGATGGTGCATTTAATGGAGATCTGCAACAACTTAATCTTAAGGATTGTTTAGATAAGTGTTTGAATCTGTTAAAATTGTTACAGACTGGGAAAACACAGCATTATATACAAAAACAAATTATGTTATTCTTCTCAGGGCAAGTGTGCTACTCATGTGACTGTTAGTCATTCACACACACAAAAAAAGGAAGGTTATTTCCTTATAGAATCACATGACCTGCCAGTGGAAAAGATCACTGCCCACTTCTCCATAGTTAGTTCAACCTTACAGAACTCTTTATCTATAATAAAGCACATGACACCACAAGTGAATGACTCAAGGTAATAGGTAGCTAGAGCAAAAGGAACTTAGTGATTTTTACGACTATCCACTCTGTGTTGCAACGACATACACCTGCATGTATGAACATTTTAAAAAATATTATATTATACAAAAGATTAAAAAACATTCAGTACAGATGTTTAGGTATTACAGAATTACTTGAATCAATTGGTAGGTAGGACAAATAATAATTAATAAAACCTAAATTATTTCTATACAAATCACTAGTTAGGCTCCACTTGGAATACTTTATATATACAGTTTCGGTCTGCTTAATTAAAAAAGGATACTGAATTAACAGCAAAGGGTTCAAAGAAAGGCTACTAGGAAGATTCCAAGGATGAGAAGGTTTACCTTACAAGAATAGGTTAACTTACTTCCTCTTAGAAAAAAAAGAGTATTGAGTAATATTATCAAAGTTTACAAGATTACCAGGAAATTGGTAGGATAAAGGTATGCTAATTTATTTTTGTTATATTCTAAAGATAATAGGATGGGAGGACACAAGTTTGAGACCTGGAAAAGATAGGCTCCAGTTGAGACAATGATTTTTTTTTATAACTGGATGATTACGTTATGGAATGAGTTGCCATCAGTGATGATGGAAGCCAGCATATTACAAGAGTATAAGAAAGGGAATCGAAGATTTCCTGAAATAGTGGTTTTAATTTTTTTACTTTCTCAAGGTAGGTGTGCAAGGGCAGCCATGAAGGGCAAAATCATTCCTCGTTGCCTGTATGTTACATAAATACTATATATTAAGTATTATATATTATATTTTTAATTTCACAATAATCCTTAAACACAACAAATAAATAACAAAGGTTTTTAACATTTGGCATAACTTCAAAAATGTGCACATTTCCTTTTAAAACAGTTCTTAAATCAAACAAAAATTTAAGTTCAACTTCAGCCCAGATATCAAAAATAGTAACTTCAATACAATCAGGATTTCAAACAGAATGTAACCACTGTCAGAGTTCAAATTCCCTTGTGTAACTCACAATTTATGAGTAACTAAATTTTCCAGTTATCAAATTATTACTTCTGAACTCCTAACTCTACTGCCAAGCATCTTGTATTTACCATTTGTTACCAGAAATTTATTTTTCCATAATCTTCTTCATGTTAATGTTTGAAATATTCCAGAAGGCTAGTTTTAATTTTTTTTACATCATTCAAACATTACAAAATAATAACATCACTTGGCCATGATTTGCCAACCAAACTTGTTAATGATTAAAAAAATCAATCAGCATACATTTATACCACAAACAATATGTTGTACAAAAATAAAATATCAACATGACATGTAGTACTGCACATTAATATGAATGATCACATAATTTTATCTGTTTCAAGCTTGATCTGTACAGGGTGGACAATATGTAAGGCTGAAAACTAAGTGAATCAACTATAGACATCTTTCATAATAAGTAACTTGATCACTATTGTTCAGTGGTAACTTCAAAACATTGAACAAATTGTGGTAATAAGAACTGAAAGCTGATTTTTGTTTTTAGGTAAAACCAAGCCTTTTTTGTAATGTCAAGTTTAACATATATGGAAATACACATGATACACAAGTGTCTTGTGTAGACTGGATTTTGTTTTTTAATTAACTATTAAAATTTTTCCCAATTAAAATACACTGAATTGTTATATGTATTTTGCAATATACACAAAAGTAGCTAATTATTACCTATATTAAAATGAGTGTTCTAATTTGGAATAAATCAATAATGAAAAGTACAATCCTTGGAAAGTATTCATGCTACAGAATAATTAGCACACATTACTTTGCATGCAAGATAACTTTCCAGTTTGAAATAATCTGAATGGCTAAACAGTAAATAATAACATTGTCACAAATGTAATTAGATCTATTGGAATCTAACTTAAAGGTGTAATTTAGTGCTTGTGCAAATAACTTATGACTATAAAAACATTTATAGTTAAATTTTTTCTAATTAAAAGAATGTACCACAATGGTTATTACTTCTTAATAGCATCAATATAACTTCATATTTTTAGAAAAACACTAATATAAAACCTCAGCAAAACAAAGCACAAAATATTGCTGGAAACATAACTTAGTAATGTCCAACTTAGAAACTAGGAATTCATATGTACAACTTTGATTGTATCCAAGTAATAGGGTACTCTTTTAAACATGAATACAGTTTTATTCTGGAATATTAACAAAGATAATTTTGCAACTTATTTAGGAGTAATTGATATTTTAAAGAAAAACTTTTGATTTATTATGAATTAATTTAACTTACCGATCACAGTCCCAACGTGAAAGCTTTTCAAATACTGTGTTTTCTGTATAGTGGTATCCCAGTAATTGTGGATCACCAATTATCAAAATTCTTAAACCATTGCTAGATTGAGGATGAAATGCAGGCCAGTATAGCCAAGGGTAGAGCTTATAAATTCCCCACTCCATGTATAAAAATAAAACCACTACAAGGACCACAATAAACTTCATGCCTGTTCTGCACAAAAAAGTAAAGGTGTTATAAAAGAATTTGTTGGTTTTTATTCTTAAATATAAACACTTTCTGACAAAACTGTAAATATTGAGCATCTAATATTATAATTTAACATATTAAGTGTATTAAGTATTCATGTAAAATATAATTAATACATTATAATTATCAAATTAGAAAAATGAAAAAGAACATTTCAACATGAACTAAATTACTTAAAAAATTTTCTTTCATCCAAACAAACATTTTTTGCATGTTTAACAATAGTTCACTATAATCTACACAGTTTTATAGGTTTCATTCTGAATTATAAATTGTATATCAAACAGATTAAATAACTTACTTCCATATCGTGAGGATCTCCATTGTAATTTACACTTTCTTAAGTTTAACCAGCTAACAGAAATTATTTCTAAGTTTGAAACAGATCCTCTTCCATCAGTAAAAAAACACGAATTATCTGAAAATAACACCAAGTAAAAAATTCACTAAATTATTACTTCAAAAAAAGTTAACTCCAAAATAATGTATATTTATGGATTACTTGATACTTAAATTTTCTATATCACTATTATAGTTTTTTCAGAATATGCAACTCCAAGAAAATGCAAATAGATAATTTGGATATTAAGATGATGTAGCATCTCAAATTTAAACAAAATTCAAAGCTGCATGTTCATATCTTACATTCTTTCAAAATAAATGCAACTGTGAAATATGCTAATGCAAGCTCCAATTTACTTTTATGTCACATTTTCACTAAAGCCTAAAACCACATATTACTTCCCAAACTTTAAGGGAGAGTGTTATTGTTAAGCTGTGACAGTTTCATATTAACTAAAAGAGTCAAAGTATCACCTTAAAGTACAGTATTTTCACTAGAAATACTATATTTAGAAGTAGCACTAATGATACTATGGTAGTAAAGTAATGTTATTAACATTTAGCATTGCTAATACTACAGTGTAAAATTCATGAAGTGTTTCTTTCAATGAAAATGTCATTTAGCTCAATCATCTATACTGACACTGGGCATTAAGACTGAAGCACACAAACCTATGACAAGGTCCTTAAAAATTATTTCATATTTATAAATGATGGATAAGAGGGGAACTGACTGAAGTATTCAAAATTATAAAGGAATAGACACAACTGATCTATCATCTCTTTTTTTGTGTTTAATGGTAAGAGTTGTAGGACTTTGAAGCATCAATTTAAGATTTAGCTGGATTGATCATCTGCAGCTTAGACAATTCTATTCTTTGAGCAGGGTGGTCAGCTTCTGGAATAAATTGCCTTAAAACATGATAGATGCAACAGGAATGGGAGGGTTCAAGAGAGAACTTAATGAGTACTTAAGTAGTCAGGGCCCTTGTTTGCCCCCAAATGATACATTATGTTACAAACAAGTTAAAGGAGAACGCCACATTTATTTTCATTAGAGGTGGGTGCTTAACCCAAGTAATTGATATAACAGATTACATTGATTAGTGTCATGTATAATAACTGATTATTTTAAATTACAATCAAACTGATTATTGTACCACAAATAATCAAATTATCAAAAATCAGTGTTTCCAATGATTACTGTTCTTAATTATTCCAAATATGCAAGTTTAGCATAGGAAATAAGTACAGAAATGGTTATAAGGGCAGGGTTAATTGTAATTGTATAAGAAATAACTTCAGGACACTGGTAGGAATAGGGGATTTCGATATAATGGGAATAACTAAAACATGGTTAAACATAGAAGATTTTGATGACAGAAATTTCTTCGAAATACAGGGTTATAGATTATTTAATAGGGACAGAGTACTAAAGAGAGGGGGAGGAGTGGCTTTATATGTAAAATGTGAGTTACATCCTGTTGAAGTTGGAGGATATCAAAAATAACAGGAAGGAAATTGAATCAATTTGGGTTTCTATTAGTGGATATAAAAAGGGAAATAACTTTTATTGGAAATTTGTTACAGAACATTGGATGACACTGATGAAATTGGTGAGAAACTTTACAGTGAGATCAAGATTTCAGTTGTTAATGAGGTCATAATTATGGGTGATTTTAATTTCAGGCATAGAGATTGGGAAATGCTAGAGTCAAACCATGATGGAAAAAGGTTTTTGGAAACTGTTCAAGATGGTTTTCTTCACCACTTGGTCAAGGAACCTACTAGAAACAATGCTATTTTAGATTTATTATTAACTTCTAATATAGATATGGTTGAGAGGATGGAAATTGGGGAACATCTGGGTGCAAGTGATCCTTTCTCTATTAGGTTCAATGTTTTGCTGTATATGGAGATAAGGAAAAATGATATTTTGGCTACAAATTTCAAAAATGCAAATTTTGAAGAGATGCAACAAGAAATATCTGTTTTGAATTGGGCAGCCCAGTTACTTGGAAACACTCATCAGATATGGAAAATTTTTAAATATTCAAGACAAGCATATTCCTTATAGAAAGAAAAGGGTGATAAAAATTGTCCTGGTAATTATCGACCCATTAATCTTAGATCAGTTGTGGGAAAAGTTTTGGAAAGTCTGTTAAAAGATGCTTTGCAAAGTCATTTTACAAAGTTTAGAATTTTATTGAATAGTCAACATGGTTTCACTAAGAGAAAATCTTGCCTTACAAATCTTTTGACATTCTTCTTTAAAAAGGTTACTGCTTATGTAGATAAGGGTAAGAATGTAGATTTGGTATATCTGGGTTTATAGAAAACATTTGACAAGGTGCCACATAAAAGGCTTGTAAAAAAGATGATCTCTGTATGTGTGGGGGATAAGTTAGCAAATTGGATAAAAGAGTGGCTGGGTGGAAGATAGCAGAGGGTTGTTAAAAATGGAGTTCAGTCAAACTGGATTAATGTCACAGAGCTCAATGTCAAGACCTTTGCTCTTTTTGATTTACATCAATGACACAGATGAAGGAATAGTTAGTAAATTACTTACATTTGCAGATGACATTAAGGTCTTGGGTGTTACTAGCTATGAAGAGGGTGCTGCTGATGTACAAAAGGATTTAGAACATTTAGTGAGTTGGACAAATAAATGGCAAATGGGTTTTAATTATAATAAATGAAAAATAATGCATGTAGGTTATCATAATTTGAATTATAAGTATAATTTGGATGGGAATAACCTTAACAGTGTTATGAAGGAAAGGGATCTTGGTGTAATAGTCGATCAGTCTCTAAAGCCATACAAGCAGTGTGCTGTTGCTAGAGGTAGGAAATTAGGATTTTAGGTTGTATTTACAGAAATATTGAATACAAATCTAAAGATGTTATAATTTCATTGTACAGATCACTGGTTAGGTACATTTGGAATACTATGTTCAGCCTTGGTCTCCTTACCTTAGGAAAGACATTGAATTGTTGGAAAAGGTTCAGAGATGGGTTACTAGAATGGTGCCTGGGATGAAGGGGTTGTCATACAAGGAGAGGCTGAAATCTCTCAAATTGTTTTCTCTTGAAAAAAAAAAAAGAGTTGGGAGGGAGGGGGATCTGATTGAGTTATATAAGATTGTAAAGGGAATTGATGGTGTTCATGCATCATCTTTTTTCATATTTAACAGTGAGAATAGCAGGGGACACAGATATAACATATAGCAAGGTAGGAGTCCTCTTTAGGTAAGGCAGTTTCATTTTTCTAACAGGGTGGTTGGTCTTTTGAATGGATTGGCTACAGATGTTGTAGAATCAGTAAATTGAACTGAGTTTAAGGGCTGGCTTTAAGATTTTTAAAAAAGAATTACAATAGTTTATTTTACAGGATGTGACAGCCAAGATGGACCAATAGGTCTCTTGTTGTCCTGAAACATTATGTTATGTTACGATTGATCAGTTATACAATTCTACTAATCATCCAGCTCTAGTTTTCATAGAGACAAAAAAAACATTTTTTTTTCTGTTTCAATGTAACACAAAACATATTTGCAAACAAACTTTTTACCTGAATACTAATCCTTGCAAAATAATTATTTCTATGAACACTAATTTTGCTCTTTTCATCACCACATATCAAATAAAAGTTACTGACTTATTCTTTCATTATTGGAAAGGGTTCAGAAGATGGCTACTAAGATGATCCTTGAGATAGAAAGGTTAACATCTACGTCTAATTTATTTTCTCTTAAGTTGAAAAAAAGAAAGCTAACAGATGCTCTCACTTAAAACCTTGGGATTTAAGGTTTTTGTACTTTGGTCTTTTAGATTTATCAGTTTATATTAATCATAATGTCACATTTAGACTGATAACATATCTTCTATTTCTTAGCTTATATGGACACTGAGCATGATATTTATGCCAAACTAGATTAATTAACTATTGAATAAACTTAAATAAATTATTACTAATATTTTATTAGTTAGGATGAGGTTGATAAAACATACAAAAGCTACCATTTTTATCTTTACTTAACTTAAGGAAATTACCAACAAGAATTTAAAACTCAAAATTTGAAAATATGAATTACTTATATAATAATTTTTTTACAATTGAAATAAATATTAAAAATTTCATTTTACTTTATTTTGCTCAAACTTTTAAAATAACACTGTACTCTAAATACAAAATAAAATCGTGAAAATAATCCAATACCACTTTATTATTCATGCTCAACTTATTGTATTGCATGCCCTGTCTACTGGTAAAAAAAACATGTTTGAAATTGGTCAGTAATCCACTACTCTACAAATAAAAGTAAGATTTAAAAAAAAACATACAAAGTTCACTTAAAAGTGAAAGGTAAAAATATAATCAAACATTATTTGACTTGAATACTAAATGCTTTCAAAAGACAGTAATCATAATGTGTTAGTAAAATTCATTTAATGCATCATATGACATTACCATTATGATGATTATGAACTGTACCAGGGATTTTAAAACTGTGATACGTGTAATTAATATCGTAATATAAAGTTGTATATAAAATATACTAGTAATATAAACAAATCACATGATTTATAATACGCCCTACCTAGGCTATCCACGTGCATAAACATACAACTCTCCTCATTTATAGTTATACTTATAATCTCACCCTCTACTTGCAGTATTTTCTTCCCTTAAAATTGACAAAAATTGTACCACCTTTTCTTCAATCGTGTCAGAAAAAACATTGGCATCCTTCGCATTAATAGGTAAATGTTAAAAATATTAATTTTTATTACCAGTTTTTATCCCTTTTTTAATTAGGCCTGAGTTTGTAATTTTAAAAAATTAAACAAAAAGTGGTACGCGAACCCGAAACTTTTGAGAACCACTGCAATATACCACATAGTTTTTTTTTTTACCTCATCATCCTCACATATATTTTTTGATCCTTGACCCCTGTATTTCAGATCTCATATTTCAGAAATTAAATACTGTTACGTCTCAGTTCGTTAGTTAATTTTCCGTAAATTCGTTCCGACGAAACTTTAGCGACACAAGTCCTTTTTTAACTTTGCGATACACTTAATTTGAACAGTCGCGCTATAACAAACGCTATAATTCACAACGAACGTCTCACGTGCTCGGTTCAACAATACTCTGTCAGCATACATTCAATTATTCATTACATTCCGCCTTGTTCCCGTCGCTCTTGGCCAGTCTTATATATATACAAGACTCCACTACATTTAGAAGGATCCCGAGATTTAAGGAAACGACGTAAATGTTCGAGAACGACGTGGCGTGATACTAGTCACGTGACCTCCGCCGACGCAACACTGCCCCTCCTTAGTATTGTTCGT